TATTCTTGCATGTAATTTTCAATTTATTTGTTTGTACAAATAGTAGTAGCTATATAGTTAGCAGTTCAATGATTAGCTCTGACTACAAGTGTTGGCCTCGGCCATAGCATATATATATATAACTATTTTAAATTATTAATAAAGATATAAGCAAGGCCTCATCTTAATACCAAAAAAAAAAAAAAAATTTTAAATTACTAATTCAGATGACCTAATGTGATATACTTATATATATATTTTTTTGATAATTTTAGCAGTCTGGTTAGTTATATATTTCTTTATATATCTTGTTATCTAGTTTATTTAATTATTCTTTTAAAATTATTTTATAAGCTTTTATTATTTTAACTATACTGTTAAAAGTTTATATTATTTCTTTATTCAAAGTTTTTAAGTAGGCTTTTGTCTTCTTAGTTTCTTAGTTTTTTTATACTTAGTAGTCTTATTATAAGTTTACACTAAAATATTAAACAATACTAGTTTTTTTATATTTTTCTATATATATTTCAGAAAAGTTTTTAAAAATATTATATATTATTAGTAATTCTTAGATTATTATTAATATATAACACTTTTGCTAAGTATTATTATTAGTAATTACTAATAATATATAACAAAAATTTGTTAAATTTTTTTAAACTTTAACTTAAAGTTTCTTAATAATTACTAATCCAAAATGGTTCAAATTTTTACTATATATAGTATATATATTTAATTATATAATATTAAAAGTTTTCATACCAACTTATCATCTATTAAATTACAACAAATTGCAAATCAAAATGCTCAACGCACCAACTTTACCTTTTATACTGATAGATCTGTTACCAATATTACTACTGATAGATGCTCAATGAACATTGGATAGATACAAATATATAACAATACTATTATCAAATCTTACTCTTCTCGAATTAAATTCTGGTCATCATCATACAAAGCTAAGCTAGTATAGTCTTCTTCCTCTATAATCACCTCCTTTATAATCACAACTCCTATATTATTACGCAAAGTTTTGATCCAAAAATTTTTTATAAAAAAAAACCTCTATATAATCACAAATAAAATATAATCACTATCATACTATATAATAAAAATAAAATATATTTATATATATATTATCTCTTTATAAAATCACATTTCAATTAAATAATAGCATACTACATATATTAATATATATGCATATAAATGCATAGAAAATACTTAATTTAAAAACTTTAAAATAATATAGTTTACTATCTTTAGATAATTAATTTTGTGATTTATTTATTTTTTTGCTTTAATAAAAGATAACTTAGCAGAGTTTGACCCAATTAAAGTTTACTATTCCCATTTTAATGTTTCACTCTAATTATTCTCCTCTCCAATAAGTCAAATTTGCATAAAATTAGTAGTCTAATTCAGTAATCCTAACTTAGAGCTTCGTGACATAATCTAAAGCTCTATTTGACCCTAATAACTTGGACCAAGTCTTCTACTCCTCTTTTATAGTCTTCCAATTTTAGGTTTAAATAGAGTTTAATTGTTTAGTATGTTAATCTAAGATAGTAGTTGTGTTGGTTAATATCTGTATTAACTATTTCTATAAAAAAAGCTTGTACAGTTATTGTAGGCATTGTCCAAAACAATGTTCAGAATAGAGTCAATTTTCTGAACAGGGTTAATATTTGTACTGTTTTCATATCAATGTTTATATGAAATGTAAAAAATAGAAATTTTTTGATTAAAAATTATCATATAAAAACGTATAAAAAATGTATTCATCCAATAAACAGCCTTTAAATGCTTAAAACAAAGTTGATTTTTGAACAAAAAATCGAATATTTTTAGAATTTTCTGAATAATTCCAAGAGATTCTTTTTTATAAAGCATATTTTGTAATTTCGGATCAGTCATCCATGCTCACAACATGCATCTAATATAGCAATAAAATTGTGAATATGCATATTTTTTATGCCAAATATACTAGATGCATGTGTAAGATCACAAGTCAGACTTGGGGCTAAACTTAATAAAGACTTGACTTTTGGAGTCAAGTCAAACTGGACTGAACCTTTCACATTCATAGATTCAGAGCATCGCATTAGCATAAATATAGAAATTTAGTAAAGATTGACATATAATGGTTTTGCATCCTTTATACATATAACATATACACAGCTAAGAAAATAATGCAAGCAAAATGATTATAAATGTGTCTTAAAATGATAAATTGTATAAGTAGAAATGCTAGTTCTTTGAAGTTACTGTTTAAGCGATACATGTGCCAGAGCATTTGACAATCTTTCACATATACTATTGTTAAGTCTAACCAAAAACTTAACTAATAAATAGGTACAACCTTTCACTTATATCTTTTACTACAGCTAAATAAGATGCCAATTTTTAAATTATCAACTGTAATATAATTTTCCAAAGTATGATATGTAACTTTAACAAAATATAATACCACATTCAGAAATTAAGTACATGCTTTATTTCAATAATACTATTGTGAACTACATTTTATAGACTGTATACAGTATAATGTTTATATTTATTTAATGCGTAAATTTTAGTTATTTATTTTAGATATATATTTATTCTTCATATAACTAATGTATACAATTTATTATATAACAATGGTAAAACTATTTAATAACTTAGTTTTAATAATCATTAGAACTATTGTAGTTATCAGAAAACCCATAATAATAAGACAAATTATTGTCATCAAAGAAATCATTGTCACCAGAAAAATTGTCTCCTGAAAAATCATTGTCATCAGAAAAATTATTGCTACCAAAAAAATTTTCATTATTAGGAAAAACATTATCATCATCAAAAAATCCTGTTTCATTAAAAAAATTATCATTAATAGACATACTTTGATCTGCTGTTTTAAAAAAATCTGTAATGGGTTTTTGATTCATAGACTCAGTAATTTTTTGCTTCATTAATGATAAGTATTTACAAAATACTTTTAAATAATTATTATTAAAAAAGAAATCATCACATATTTGTTGTTTAGCAAACAATATAAAACTTTTCAACCCACTTATTCCTTCAGCAGCAGTAATTTTTGGTGGTTTTTTGTCAGAATCATCTGGATCACCCTGCTCATACTCCAATTGTTCTGCTAATATGGTTTCAACAATCTGAGTATCATTAAGTGTTTCTTCTGTAGGAATATGAGTTTAATTAACTTCTCTATATGCATCTATTTCTCGTACAACTGTATCTTCAGTAAAATTAAAACTAATTTATATATTTCACTTTCCTCATGTTCAATTGATTCTAAGCATGTATTTTGTGCAAGTTCAACATCTTCATTTGATACCAAGGGTAAAATACCAGTCTTCATCTAACAATTTGTCATTGTTAACTCTTCCACTTCATCTCACAAAGCTGCTACATAATCGATGGCTTTTTTAATATTTAATTTATTTCCAACAGAAAATAATAAATTTTAGTTTATAAAAAATTACATATAATTTTTGAATATGCAATACTTACTCAGAATCTCGAATGTTTAGTCCTCTCTCAAATTGATCTAAGATATGTTAAATATATTTTTTTTAATATTTTGACTTGAAGCATTTAATGATTTCTGCATCTATAGGTTAAAGATGTGAGATAGTAAGAGCAGGTAAAAATTGAATTTTAATATTTGTGAGATTATAATCAAATAAATCAGGAAGTATATAAATACTCGCATGGCCTCTGTTATGCTTGTCTTTACTTTGTCAAACAGTATTACGATTATTATTACAACCATGACCACAACTACAAATAAGACCATGACCATGACTACTTCTATTTTCAGAATGCAGCTCCTCAGAATCACTATAACTAGACTCTTTATCAGATAAATATGAATTTGGATCATAATGACTTGTCACATTATCAAGTAAAAGCAAAATTTTTTGATTTTTACATTGGAATTGGCTGTCAAGATCTTTCAACCATTCTAATAATATATCACTTCGCATTCATGCTTTTGAGTTAGCATGATATATAACAGGTAGTATAGAATGATTTATTCCAGATAATGCCTATGGTTTAATTGAAGATCCTATTACAAGAGGCTTTAATTTTTCAGTACCAGTAGCATTACATGCTAAAAGAATAGTAATACAAGTATGATTCTAAGTTTATTAACAATAAAAAAGGTTTAGTTTAATGAATAGTTTTTAATCAAATTTTACAATAAAAAACAAACTATTATTAAATTAATAAAATTACTTTCATTTTTTCATCCTGAATGGGGTTGAGATGCCAATGTTTGGTTGGGTGCCATTTAAAAAAACAGACCTGTTTTATTCACATTAAAAATATTATTTAATGCATATTCTTGAATAATATTTTGTAAATTGCATCAGAATTCTGGAAGGTCACTTGTTGACACACTATCAGCCTCTCCATGTAATTGAAATTTATACAAACTATTATGTTTTTTAAATTGCCTTATCCAACTATTAGAGAATTTCATTTTATTATCAGGTAGTGATAAAGCTTTAAAAAAATAGGCAGCCTTCTCTTTGATAATTGCCTCAATTAAAAATAACCCATTATTGACAACCTGTTCAACCCATAACTTCATGGCTTGGTCCAGCAAAAGAAATTTTATTTTTCTATGTCAAAAAGTACTTGATGTTATCTTATTTTCACTAATGGCTAACTATTTATTTTTCTTTTTAAGAATTTTAGAGATAGTTGAATGATTAAGATTATGTTGTGAATCTTGAGTATTAAAGTACTCTGTGATTTGTGTTTGTGTTTTATTAGGGTTTTTTATATAATATTTGCAAATTTCATTTTTTAGACTATCACTAACTGCTATGTGTGTCTTTTTAGTAAATTGATTAGATATCATAATTGTAATAACAAAAAAACCAGAGTGGCCAAGAAATATAAAGAATATATTCCTCTTATATATGTTAGAAAAATTCTATATATCCTTAATGTCATTAAAAAGTTTTACAATATTTTGCTTTCATAAATACACACAAAAAGAGCAGATCATGCCTTTGTGAATAGTGAAGGTTTTTAATAATTTAGAAAATAAGGTTAGTGAATAATTTCTCAAAACTGATGAGAATTGATTTGTTTATTTATTACATCATATCAGTTAGTTCTCAATTTATTGTTTATTGATTAAATAAATACATTGGTGATTAAATAAATATATCAAGTATTGGAAAATAAGAATTATTAACATGTTTATATACTTACTTAAATATAACTTGTAGGATATATATTAATCAGCTTGCCAAAAATATACAAGCAATTGTTAGTGTCAATATGAAGGAAAGATTTTTTTTTCATCTTAATTATATATTTTAATTACGTATTTAAATAATTACATATTTATGATGTTCATCATTTATCTAATCCAAAAGCTAATTACATAATTTATTATGTCCATCTAACAGCTAATTACATAATTTATGCCAATTCCAATCGATCAATTAATAATCACATAACTGCATACGTACATACGTATATATATACCTCTACTTGATACTATATAAGGCTTTTAAAAAAATTCTTACGTATGTACATATGTATGTACGCATGCATATCTAATTGTAACATGAAATGGCATTAATTAAATCATATCATAATATATATACTGTATATATTATTAAATTATGATACAACACCCTACATTACAATTAGATATATGTAATAGTATTTTATTTTCATGCTCAAATACACTACTAACTTGTTCTTCTATAGCTGTTTAACCCAATTCTTGATGGTTATAAATATAATTTAATAATGAGAGCCATTTAATCTAGTTTAGAATCCAGTATTTTAAATTATGCTTTCTGAAAATTCTTGAAAAATCTGATTAAAATAAGACGTGTATGGCTAATTTCTAATTCAACAGTAATATGATAATTCGAATTTTTGCATCAGACTACATTTGACAAAATTTTAAAAACCAGATACAGATTTTCTCTTAAACTTAATTATGAAAAGAGATTAAATGAAAATTACCTATGTTTATAAATGATATTAATTTACATTATAAGAAAAAGGCATTTAAATCTATCAATTAACAAATCTGTTAATACAATAAAGTGTTAAAAAATTTATTATTAATTAATATATATGTTTAAATCAAATATGTAGTTTGTTCTTTTTATGTATAGAATTTTCATATATACTGTAAAAGTAGAACTAATCTGGAATCTCAAAAATATGGTTTCATATATATTAACACATACTAAAACTATCTAAAACAATGAGAGGTTTCAAAGTTAACAAATAAGTAATGCATTTAGAAAATAAATAGGATTTTTTCAATAGCATTTTTACTATGTTGAATTATAAATCAGAAAAATAAAATAAGATTTTTAGATATTAACTTTGAAACCTTCTATTACTCTAAACTATTTAATATCTATTTAAATCCTAATAATAGAAGGCACAATAGAGGCATGGAAAGACTTGGTCTGAGTTACTAGGATCAATTAGAGCTCTAGATTTTATTACAGATTATTTAGAAATCACAGAATTATACAATTAACATATTGGAAGAAATTAGAGCAAATACTTATATAAATAAGTATTCAAACTCTACTGAGTTCTACTTAAAACTGAACTGAGTTTCACTCTACTTAACTCTATCCAAGTCTCTCTTTATCGAAGTGAAAAATATAGGTCTTATATACTTTTTGACCTTCACTATGTATAAAAATACTTTTTACTAATGTCTGCTATTCTAATATGTATCACAGACACCTGGGCCTCTTAACAATATGTATATAAATACATTATAAGCTTTTTATAATATATAAACTAAATAAATTACCTTATTTGATGTCAGGAATATATTTTTACATTTTGTAAAATTTAAACCATTATCTTTTTTTTATATATTTTATATTTACTCTTATATATTCACATAATATAAATTATATATTAAGTGTGATTATATAGTATAGATTTTATATAATCACATTCATTTATAATTATGGTTTTGTGCAATACAAACTGGGTGATTATAGAGAAGGAAGACTGTAGCTATTCTATTAGCTATATGCACATGCTCTTGAAACAGCAATATCCAAATCTATACTGACTTACAATTTGTAATTTTTAAATTTAACAAAATTACTAACAACATAATACCACTGTACAAACAATACTCTTATAACTATTGGCCAATATAGCACACAATTATTAATTTAATTAGGTCATACAAATACAACATTACACTTCACAAAGTACCAGCCCATGAAGACAACA